CATTATCAGCGTGTTCACTGTTCATTTTAGAGAAGAAAATAGTCCAAGGAAAAAAACCCAACATCCCTATTCATCTTCTACACTGCCACATGCTTGATGTGGTACTTCGCACAGCACTGAGTAAAATGAGCCCGTACAAATGATATGGGTGCAAAAATTAGCATTACATAGTCGATAAATCATGCAAGGAATTTGGTATCTGTGTACTTAATCTAAATTTGTTAACACTGGCAAGATAAAGGTCATTTGGACTCCATGCCGACTCTTGAAACTGGGACGCTGTTCAGAAATTTGAGGTTTCTCCATCCAGCTGTGTACATGTGCCTTGTTATCTAATACTTTAATTGCTAACAAAACACTGGGTAGTGGAGAATATACTGGTCTGTGTCAATATTTAAGCAGGACTTTACTTATGGCTGAAGTTTATTCACCTTGGAGAGAGAAAATTTTTTGCCTCACTTGAATAATTGGGCAAAGAAAAGGCAAGGTTTCAACTTGCTCCTGTGGTTTGTGCTTACTGTTGGCAAAGAGAAAAATATGTCAGCTAGTCTTGAAACCTGAATTTTCAGGTCCTTGTTTTTTATTTTTTATTTTTCCCTGAATATTTCAGGAACTGTTGAGACCTCAGAAGTGTTTGGGGCCTTTCTCCTTCCCCCCTTCTAAATGGTCGAGGTGAAATAATCTCTCTGGCTTGTTTCTGATGAATATTTGCCTAAACTCTTAAAATCTTCCCATAAAGGAGATTAGGAGTTGTATTTGTCTCTCCTCTCCTGTCCTTCTCATCACCCCCTGGAAAGCTGAGCCTGGGGAGGAGGACTCCTGCAGCTTTACAGGGAAAGGCACCTGAGAAGAGACAGGAGAACCTGCTGAGGTTCAGGTACAGCAGCCACCACCACTGTCCACCTATAGCCCATTCCCAGAGGCTTTTCCCCAAAGACACTTTCCTTTAAGCTTCCAAAGCCTAAAAACTTGGTTTTTTCCATGTCCAAAAGTCTTATGCTTGCTGTGGAGGAAGTTAAAATAAGGGATGCCACCATCCTCACATAAAGCCATCAAATTTTGGAATGACAATGAGGGAGGGGTTATAGAGGTGGATATTTTCTTATGCAAACTGGAGTTGCCCACGAGGGAGAAGCAGCAATGTGAAGCTGTGAAGTCTCTGCCATGTGCTGAGGCTCAATCTGGGTGATTTTTTCCTGGAATCTGTTCACATGGCTAAAGGATCTGTTTGTTTTTCATACCTCATGTTCACCAACCCGTGGTAACGTTAACAAGCCAAGTCCTGAGGAAGTTCCATACTTTGATCATTCCTTTATTCTTCCTGAAAGTCTCTCCTGGGCTGATCCTGCTTCAAACTTCCCCTTCCACACTGAGAGTTTAATCCTTGCCTCTGCTTTTCCCCATTTCTGTGCAAAGCTGGGACTTGAAATAAATATGTAGCAAAATGTTCCCCCTGTACCAAGGCACAGAGGGTACATTCAGTCTTTGTCCTGTGAAATAAGACAAGATTGGAGCCCAAATGTAGCACAGCTTGTGCCTGCTCTGTACATCACAGGACACCAGAAAATAGGAACTGAGGTACCCCACTGCTGGTTTTAATACAAATCTCATTATTAGTGTATGACCTGGCTTGTGGCCATGAAAGTGGTGGTTTTGTTGGGTGTGGGGTTTTTTGGAGGGGGAGTTTTGGTTTCTTTTTTTCTCTGAGCAGAGGAAATGTGCAAAGAGCACACACACCATAAGTTAGAGCTGTGTGCAGATAGCTGGAGAGAGGAAGAAGAGGCAGTGAGCTTTGAACAAAGAATCTGTTCTGCACAGGAGATGTGCACATGGGCCATGCCTTCAGAAACCTCTGCCAGCTCTGGGCAGGCTGCTCAGGGGACAGAGTGGGACCTGTCCGTGTGTCCTGCAGTAGATTCTGTCCCTCCAGGGGAGCTGGGAAGGCTCAGAGCAGGGATTCAGGAGTCAGGGCTGATGTTTGTGTGGCAGGAATATATAAAGAGTTGGAATGAGCTGCATTTAGCAAGCTAACCAAGAGTTTTCAGCTTTCTCTGTGACAGTCAGCCCTCCACTGTCTTTCAAGGTAAATTTTGGACATTTTTCTGAGCTGGTTTCAAGTGTGGCTTATGTTTGCCAAACAGAACTTTCTTCCACATCCTCTCTCTAATCCATATTTTTCATCAACTCAAACCAATTCTTATTAATGCAAGTCCAACTCCATAACGATCCCAGAACATAAGATTTAAATATTTAACTGTTTATAATAACTTCAATTCTCACTCAGATATGTATTTTCAGTAGGAGTATGTGTTGGAAGGACACTATTTAGTTTGCAAAGTCACTACATTATGGCATGATGAGGATCTAAATTGTGAACTGTTGAATTTAAAACTAGCATTATCTGCTCTGACAATAAAAATTAAGCCTCACTATTGCTAAACCTGAATATATAAAACCTCATATCTGTCCTTCTCATCTCTAGTATTTAGCTAGGTGCTAAAACAGCTAAGATCTGAGATATTTTTTATTAAAATTCTGGGGTTTGGACCTTTAGATTTTATCTTTTTTCTAACGAAGCCTGAAGTTCTCATATGATCACTCAAAACATGGATACTTTAAGAAAAAGTACCAAATAATCTTCAGAACATCAACCAAAAGGATGAAATTAGAAAGAACTAAGTTATTTATGTCAAAGAAGGCATAAACCCCAGCCATGTTTAAATGCAGAGTTTTATAGAGGTGTTTTCTTTAGGATTTCCTGCTAAGGATAGGAACAACACCTTTTATCAGGTCAGTGATTTTTGTCTTTCTAGGAGAGCTGGAGTGTGGTGGCAATAAAGAGTCCTCCTGGATTGCCCAGGATGAATATTTAGACACAAACCAGGTTTTTTAGTTAGGAAAAAGTGGTTTCCTTCTGCTCCCAGTACTTCCCTTCCTGTATTCACTGTGGTACTTTGCTTCTCAAAGTCAGGTTTTGTCTCAGCCTAGCAGCCCTTTGAAACACAGGTTATTAGAAATGTTGTTCCTTCTTATGCAGTTAAATGCATGTCATTTTAGATTTCCTATGCCATTAATTTTAAATAAGCATTTTTTGGGTCTTTTCCCCACTTTTGGGTATTGGCAGGCTCTTAAGGGCCACATATTACACCATGCCAGTTGTTCTTAATCATTCTTGTGACAATATTATCCCTGTAACGTGGCCAAAGCAGAGCCTGTGTGGATTATCTGATGTTTAATTATCTGAACCATAAAATGTAATATGTGCAATCATAAGGGGTGTGGTCAAATTATTTGACCACTTTTGTATTCTCCCCTTCTTTGTTCTTCCTCTTTGTTGCATTTGTGAACTTAAAAAACTTAAAAACTTTAAAACTTAAACACTTAAAAAAATACAAAAAATCAAAACACGTGATTGATGCTTCTGTGCTGGTTTGGATTATAACACATAATGTAAATATCAGAGCAGATTTGAGTGCTTCCACTCTTTTCCACATCATATTTAAACTCAGAGCAGCACACTTGCTCTGGACCACCTCACTGTTCATTTTTCATATCTTGAGCCTGCTAATAATATATGTGATTTTTAAAATAATCAATGGCCAACAAATGACTTTCATGACTTTTATGTCATTTCTTGTACCTGATGTAACTCATGGATCCAGAGACCCTAAAACTCGAGGTATTACTGGCTGGATGATGCTTCAGGGGACATTTTCCTGTAGTAATTTTAGAAATCTCTACATCTGTCATTACTGGATTTGCTGTTGTCACAAGGAAAATGCTGCATCATGTGCAGTGCCAGCACTGACTTGGGGACAGCTTTGATAGAATCTCTCCAGAAGTTAATTTTGGTGAATTCTCACCTAAACCACCCAGATCCTTCAGAGTGGCAATCCTAGCACTGTCCAAATTTTATATTGGGGGACACAAAATAATGTGGTGAGCACTTACCCTTTCTGTTAGGGCTGCTATATTCACTATGATACTTACAAATACCCCTAAAGCCAAACTACCCTGATTTTCTGTGCTAAAAATAATAATAATAATTGAATAATTCACCAATTATTCAGCTGATGGCAAGTTATTCTACACAACTTCATAGTAAAGTTCAGTTCCAGAATTTCTCTATGGTACTTTCTTCTTCCTTTTACTAAAGCCAAATATTTGAGTGCAGCCTTCATAGTTATTTTCTAAGCCACTACTCTTAATCTCTGTGTGATACAAGCTGCTCTTAGGTTGTACATTCCAGATAACAGAACTTAAAACAAATGGTTTCACTTGCAGAGACTATCACATAGAGCTAAAATCACTCCAAACTCTGTGTTGCTTTGAGACTTTAATCAGCCACCTTTTGCAGTTAATTGCTATTTTGGCAGGCTGGAGAAAGGAAATGGAGATTTTTAACAATTTCATATCAACACAAATGAAAAAGAATTTGATGAGACAAATAAAAGGTCTTTTTCCTAACTCAAAGATGCTCTGCTTGCCAAGTACCAGAAGCTTTTTGCAAACATCAGAAGTGGGAGAGGATTTTTTTGAGAAAAGCTAGCTGGATCCCTCTATAATGAAAGATTTTATGCCCTGCCTAGCACATCTCAGCCAGGATGTTCCACCTCAGAGAGCCAGGTTCTTTGTGGAGCTCTGATACATACTGAAAAGTGACAAACCTGGGTAAATTTGCCTCTCTGTCCATATCCTAGGTGGTATCTGCTCCAGATGTGTACCACAGCATTTCTGACCTTCCCCTCACTGACCAGCACCACAAACTCAGCATTATCAGCGAGCTCTGTCCCCTCCTGAATCACCCAGTAAAAATCTGTGGCAGAGCTGAGCATCAAGAAAGTGACTGCTTGTCATTAATATCCACTTCACTTTAAACTCACTGCAGCCCTGGAAACCTCAGAAGCTGCTATTCCAGTTGCTCATAATGTGCTCTTTGTTTTGTGCTTGGCTTATCTTGGAGCACAATGCAATCTGAAGGAAGTACACCCACTCCCTGATGTTTTCCTTGGGAGCCAGAAATGTGCGTGCGGCGTTGTTTGGGGCAGTGGTGAGTAAAAGTGGAGTGTGTGCTGTGAGTAAAAGTGGAGTGTGTGCTGTGAGTAAAAGTGGAGTGTGTGCTGTGAGTAAAAGCGGAGTGTGTGCTGTGAAAGGTGCGGGGGATGGTGGTGGTGGGATGCAGGAAATTGTGCTGGCCTTTAAAGGCTGCAGATTTCAGAGTTCTGACAATTTCTGGTTGAAAATTGTGCAGCCCCAGTAAAAAAACCTCAAGCAGCAGATGCAGAGCCATTGAAGCTTGATGGATGATTTTCCAGGGCTGGTACACCTTGTGCTGTAAGCACACCCAGCCTGTGGAAAGTTCAGCAGCTAAACTGAAACTAACCATTGTTCAAATACTTCTAAAATGAGAGAATCTTGTTTACTTTAACGGTTTCCCTTCCTAAGAGGCAGGCACTGTTTTCCCAGCCTGAAAGGTTTCTCCTCTCCTTAGTATTTCCAAAAATGACAGGGTCCCTGGGTCCTTACATAACTAGTTCTGATCTCTTCACAATTTATTTTATATTTATATTTTATATTTTAATATATTAAATATATATTTTAATTAAATTCTTTACAATATATAATATATTTATATATTTTATATATTAATTATTTATTAACTATATATTAATATATTAATATATTAATATAGCTAATATAATAAAATAAACACATAATATAACATTATAATATTTATAATATAAAAATTAATAATATATATTAAATAGATAACTTAATTATATTTTCTATTTAATATAATTTTTATTTTTTGAATTTTTTTCACAGTAAGTCTATGTGAAAAATCCTAGATTTTATTTTAGCCCACAATAAATCCATTAATGTGGAAAGTTTAACTTTACACGTGGCTGGCTTGGGAGGCTACCTGGATCATCCAGATCTAGTGTGTATTTATAGTTTTTATATTATTATAATATAATATAATATAATATAATATAATATAATATAATATAATATAATATAATATAATATAATATAATATAATATAATATAATATAATATAATATAATATAATATATTGTATTATTTGCATTATTTATATTATTTATATTATTTATATTATTTATATTGTTTATATTATTTGTATTATTTATATTTATATTTTTACAGGGTCTAAGGAGTACATAAGAACACAATACAGTGCTTAAGGATTCTGAACTTGCAGAAATCACCATGATCCATATTTCCTACCCACTCCTGTCTATGGCCAATGGTATTGCAGCTCAAATCCAGGTGTGGGTATGGATCTAATCTCACATATGCATCCATATTCCCTCTAATGGCTCACCAGGGAGAGAAGGGCAGTCTCTGTTATTTACTAGAGATGTTCTTTATTTGAGACAGTGAGATTTGATCTGAATATGTCCCTGCTCTCCAAAGATCTGTGGGATTTTCTGCCCCTGCACTCTCAGCCTCTACTGGGTTTTGCCAAATGACTTTTCATTTTCTGCTGCATTCTGAATGAAGTTTTAAGGCATCAAAGAAAAGATTATAAAAAAATGATTGAATTAAAAATAATATAATGTTTCCCCCTTTTTTTCTTTTTTTTCCTAAAAAAACTAAGTAAAGTCACATACAGACACCATGCATGAACCTCATTTTAGAGTTCCTTTAAATTTCACAGGGACTCAGTCTTAAATGGTGAAACTGAAAAGTCATTTGGGATTTGGTTCAGTGACAGGTAAATACCATTGGGGTTCTACTTGCAAGGTCCTGAAAACTCAGTTTAAAAGCTGATCTTGGAAAATCTATGAATTAACAGAAAAAATATTAAGTAGTTTTTCTCCATTTCTGAATAAAATTCAAACCTTGATTTAGATTTAAATTATAACTCTGTGTTTTTAATATAAAATACAGTTTATGGACCCTGCTGATATCTTGCTGTATCTTGAACAAAGCAAGTTAGAGTCCAGGCTGTTTTCCTTTTAAATAAATAAACATTGCTGTTTCATTGATGGCTCTTAACAGAAGAGGTCAGCCCCATTGTTTCTGAAACAGCAACATATGATTCTGAAACATAAATTATTAGTATCAACAGCAAAACTCGTGGTGTAGTCAAGCATTTATCACAATGAATGAAAAAACAAACAAGTTATTCCCCCAAGACCTTGGTGCTATTTAGAGATGAATGAAAACTTCATTGAATAAAATAATCAGCTTGAATATTTTTTATTGTTCTGTGATTATTTGAGAGACTATATCTTATTGAAAGATCTGCACATAAAAGTCTTAATTTTTAAAAATGCTCCAAATTGGAGGTTAAGCATTAAATCATGTGGTTTCAATTCCACTTTGATGCATCTTAATGTTTGTAATTTTTTCTAGCTAAGAAGTCTTAGTGAAATGAAGAAGTTGGACTTCCTTGTTTTACTATTATCTCATACTGCCCCTTCTTTTCTGGAGAGAGAAAGGAAAAAGAGAAGGGAGAGGAAAAAAACTGAAACTGGAGAAAGGAGAATTGAGATGTTTTCAGGACCCGAGATGAAATATTTTGTGCTGAATTTGAAGCATTTTATTCAGTGAAACACCTGTTCCTCTAAAAGTGGTGGTTGCATTTCCTGTGATGTTGCCTTCTACTTAAGTTAGTACCAAAAGAAATTATGTTCATATGTTAATTTTCATGGACTAAGTGACGTCTCTTGCAGTATTTCCATAATTAAATCTCAGGCTGGTGAGATTTAATGTACTTTATTTAATGTACTTTAAATGGCATCTCCTCTGCAGTACCTCAGCACATCAGGGCTTGGCCTGGGGCTTTGTTTTTCAGGCTGTTCCACAAGCACAAAGGAGCTGGCCTGAAGTTTATAAACAGCTTTAAGTAGCAGCTCTGTGCTTTGCTAGAGTAGCATCCATCACAGCCACGTCAGGGATGCAGCAGTGAGCTTTATCTCCTCTCTCTCCCCAGTCCTCTGCTCTCATACCTAGACAGTTGGCTCATTAAAACAAGTGTGCTATTGCTGAGCAAAAAAATAGAAAAAAGAATAAAATAAAAAAAAAATAAATTGAAAAAAAGAGAGTCACTGTTTTTAAGACATGGATTTATAGCTCCATGTTGTAATCAGACATCACGGATTCTTTCAGAAGAACCGTAAAACAAGTTTCCTCATGAGAAGGAAAAGAAAAAATAAAAAAAGAAAAAGGAGGGTGTGCTGTCCATTAAGCAATTGTGAAGCTCTAGTTCAGTGCAAGCTTGAGGGGGAAAAGGGGACGTGGCAGTAAATCATCTGTGCAGCTCTCAGCCATAAAGTTTCTTGAGCAGTCAAAACTGCCAGGGCTTGTTTGGATGACTTATTCCTGGGCAGGGGGGGATGGAAGAAAGTTTATAATACAGCTGCAAACTTCTGCTGTCTCTGGTGTCACTGCTGTTTATATTACGTGATAATGTGCTACAGAAACCTCCTTCTCTTTCAGAGGTGACGTTGTTTTGGCCTGACCTTGTTTTGAGATGGTTTCTCCCAGCCCGCGGAGCGGAATGTGGAATTGTGCTGGGGTGGGGAGCAGGGCTTTGGGGAGGGGCACATCAGGAGGGACCAGTGGGGCTCACTGGGGTTTGGGTCAGGCCCTCGAGTGCCTCAGTCCCTCACCCAAGCTGGTGGAGTTGAGTGGTTGGAATGTGCTGAGGGAGGAAGGGAGATGAGCCCATTGGCCTGGGGGGCTGGTAGCTCTTGGATAATTCACCTGCTGCTCAGAATGGGCTGCCAGAGCTGTCTGTAAAATCATCACAGCCTCACCAGTGGGCTCAGGTTAAAATGCTCATTGCCCATCTCGATTAACAGCATTTAGAATCATAACATCATGGAGTTTTGGTGGAAGGGACCTTCAAAATCATCTTGTTGCCAGCCATGGCAGGGACACCTTTTCCTGTCCCAGCTGCTCCAAGCCCCATCCAGCCCAGCCTTGGGCACTGCCAGGGATCCAGGGGCAGCCCCAGCTGCTCTGGGCACCTGTGCCAGGGCCTGCCCACCCTCACAGGGAACAATTCCTGCCCAATGTCCCTTCCAACACTGCCCTCTGGCAATTTAAAGCCATCCTGTCACTACACACCCTTTTCAGAAGTCCCTGTCCAGCTCAAAGATCTTCATCACTGTACTTGTATTTCGAATTTTAGTCACTGCAAACTGTGTGCAGTAGTTGGCCATTTTCAGTGGGAAGCAGACAGGGATTTATCTGATCTATCTGATTTATCTGATTAATCTGCTTTATCTGATGTATCTGATTTATCTGGTAGGAGCACGTGCCTGCCTGAGCCCCAGCAGTGTGTGGGCAGAGCTGACAGTCACTGAGTGAGTGGAGCAAACGCTGAAGCACTGAGAGAAAATCTGCAGAGCAGCAGAACTTGCCCAGAAGGATATTCTGTGAGTGCAGCAAGTCAACTGGCAAGGTAGGGGAGGATGAAGGGATTTCAAATCTGTGTTTTAGACCAGCAACTTGAAAATTCATGAGAATAATTCTAGAACTGTCTCCTAAAGTGTGTTTTTCTGGGGAAATAGAGGAAACTAGGCCCAAATGAGGACTGTATTCCTATTTCTTCTCCTGAAATTCTTTATCCTCACTTTTTCATTGTGCACTGTTACAAGAAAGACATCCAGTATCCTGAGGCCTCTAACTAACGCTTGAGATGAGTATCTTTTAAATTAAACAGAACTCAGCCTGACCTGTCTCTGTCTTAAATTTCTTCCTAAAATGAAATGTACCCTTTAAACAATCTTAAACCCGTGGTTCCCCCTTCTCCCCTTAATCTCAGGTATGATTAGTGCTTAATGGACCTTGAAAAGCACCTCTATTTATAATGGCCACAGGTTGCTCTTGCTTAGATACGATCTCCAATTTTCTGTTTTCTCTTGAAACTAAACCCAAAATAGTGGGACACATACTTGGTTATTATGTTCATATATGCTACATTTTTTTTTCCCCCCAGAACCACAGTCTTTGGTGAATGATTTAATCCATATAACTTCTTGTAACCCAGAAACAATGGGCAGTTTTGTTCTGAGCAGCGCTGATAACATGATCTCTCTTACACAGATACACCAGGGTATCAGGTGCCAAGGGGCTCTTTCCATGGAGGAGGACATCTGAATCCAGGACATTTATTCTGCATCTGAGGAGGTGCAGTGAGAGCAAGAGACAGGACTCTCCTACCCACTACCTTTTGCTGCACAAAACCCCTCAGAATCCCTCCAAAACTGACCATCTGTCCTGTGTTATTTCCTGAAAAACAGGGATGAAAGTCCCCAGGAGCCAGTGCTTTAAGAAAATCAACCCAAGGAGACAAAACTCCAGACTGTGATTCCAGCACTGTTTCTTGTATTGAATAACACCTTGTGGGTCAGACTTCAGCTCAAAACCTGTGTCAGTTGTGCCCGAGCCTCTCCTTATTGAGAACATGTTTCCAAGGAGCAATCTCCAGATCCCACAGCCTTTCCCAGACCCTCCTGACTCCACTCAGAATAGAAAATGAGAGAGGTGAAGCTGTCAGAGCTGGTAGATGGTCCTGAGGGATGAAATAAACAGTCATTACCTCTGCTAATGACGGTGAATCCCTGTGATGTGCTAATCACGGAGCAACAGTGCCCACATCCAACTGCCTAATTAAATTTCCTAGGAATAGATTACTGTGGGATTACTGGTTTCTCCATAATGGCATCAGATCTAATACAACCAGCCAAAGTTCAGATATATTTGCATTGCTAATGTGGCTGGGACTTATTTCTCTTCCATGAACAATAATGTTGCAGTAATGGCTGGAAGTTCTGGTGGAGGCTGGGGCTGCACCGCTCTCAGGAGTGGAAAAAGACAGGAAAAGTTCATCAAGCCCAGTGCTAAAAGGTGCCTGTATCAAATCTGGAGAGAGTAGTAACCATGCCCAGGGTCTCTGTCTGGTCACTCAGCCATAAGACAAATATATTGTTTATTATTTTTTATAATGCAAAAGCTTTAACATACAATCCCTGCTCACTTGGATTATTTTCAGCTATGCTAATTTTCTAGTAATTAGCATCCCCAGGGCTGGATACCATCTGTTTTCCACAGTTCCTATCACCTGAATATCTAAGGGAAGATTTAAAATACAGTAAAAGCTCCAATGGGACATAAGTGCCTATAAAACATGGATTTTCAGGATCATCTTACTATCAGCACATTCAGAGTGGTTTCTTTGATTCCCCTTCTCTCCCCAGGGTCTTTCCAAACATAGCCAGTGCTCTCTCCTTTTCTCCCTGGCCAAGTCCTGGAAGGTGACTTCATGTGTGGAGCCTCCCCCTCAATCACTGTGTTTTAGGCTTTAGTACATGACTCAGAGGATAAATATTCGAAAACAGGACAATTTCTCAGTGCTGTTTCACTAAGCAACTTAAGGAGGGTGACAAGGCCAGTGAAGTTTTGATTTCAGATGCTCAGCATGGAATGTGGCTGTGCACAATGAAAGTGGTGAAAAATCACCGGCTGCACAACATATCCAAATTTGCTTAAACGTATTTCCAAATTAGAATAATTTGGATTCTCCATAACTGAAAGCTGCTTCGAAAGCGTTCTCTATTTTTAGATCATTACTGCTATTTCAGAATGTTCTAATATTACATGATTTAAGTCCCTTGCAGCAATTACACTGGTAGGCAAAAATTGCCTGGAAAAATGAGGCAATTTCAAATGTGTCATTTGATAAAAATGAATAGAGAAAATAGAAAATATTCACCCACATATAGTATCTTGTCCAAGGACAGCTAGACAAGCAAGCTGGAGAGATTAAAGGAATCTAAAAGTGAAATAATTAATGGCTGCAGTAGATGGAAAGGTGAAATAATGGTTAAGAAGTGAGAGCTACAAACAGTAAGACAGTGAGAGAAAAAGGATGGGAACCTGTGGAGAATAACACTCCTTCACTCTCTTCCAATCCTAGAGCTCCTTATACTTGATGGGATGCTCTCTTATTCTCAATTTTCCTCTTCTAAACACTCCTCATAATGATAGCTGTCAGGTTTAGGGTATTTTTAACTCTTGGGTAAAATATTTAGAGAATAACTCTATAGACTTCTGATACTTGGTGTTATTTTTAATAATAGTAGCTCAGGATCTGAAACCTCAGGTCTGAAATCTGAAAACAATGCTGTGAAGACTCAGTTTTGTATCATAAATTTAATGATAAATTTTAATAATCCATTGACTGGGTGTTTCCACATGTAAGTTTGTGTATAGATATTTACATTCTAATTTATATGGTGAGGAAAAAGTTCTTTTTTTTTATTGCTGATTGATGATATTTGAGGTATGTGAAGTATTTTTTTGCAGTGCTTTTTTTAAAATAATGCTGAAATTATTTACACATAAATTACTGATAAGGATTTTATTTTCATTGCTCACTGAAAAATGCAAAAAATGTGAACCACATTATCTAGCAAGAGACTAAAAAACCCAGAACTCCTCTCCTTTATTCCCCAAACTCATATGAGAAACAGGCCAAGGATGCTGTGGTACAGAGAAATGAGCAGATGGGTCCTTATCTGTGCTGTGCATCCCAGACCCTGAGTCCTGCTGCAGCTTAAATAATTATTATTTCCACCATTCATAAAACATAATGTTAAAACAATGAAATCAGCTTAAACAGAGGTTCAACTTTGATATCATTGAACTATGCAAAAGGCCCCTCTGCAAGCAACTTAATTCTCCCTATGGGATATAACTGAGACAGAATGAATCCTAAAAGCCTTAAGAAGAGTAGGGCAGGGGTTTTTGAAGGGGATCTGCCCCTGAACACCCGACTGTCTCTGTCTGGAGATGGGCTCTGAGCTGCAGGAGGTGTGTTTGAAATGCTCCACCTGAGCTGGTTTGCCCCTTCAAGAAGAAAACCCTGAGTTCTGAGGGAATCCAAGCCCTGGTGCAGAGTACAAATGTTGGGAAAACTTCACTGGCGTCATTTTTGTTTCTATGCCCAAAGACTGTACCCAATAAATCAGAATTTTTTTGCCTGTTGCACTCTTAATGTTCTGGGCTGAGACTCCTCAGCTCAGGTTGCGTTGAGAAATGCTCACCATGGGGCTGCTCAGACTGAAAATCACGGCTTGTATTTGAAATGATGGATCTTTAACCCACTGGACACAGCATTTCACTCACTAGCTGTTAGCTACTGCAATTAGTGCTTCTAATATGAGTTTCTTGATTTCTTTATTCTGATTTCTTTGTAGCTTTGTTACTCCCTGAGCATCTCAGTGCCTTCAGCAGGTACAGTCAGGAGACAAAGTACTATTTTTTAAGGGTGTTTCAAGGACTTCTTGTGTAAGTAACACAGGGGCTGTGACTTAAAGTGGTCAGTTGTTTGATATTTATCATGGAAGGGACTGCAGTTACCACAGAAATAAATCCTCCCTTTCCACAAGTCTGTCAGCGATGAATAAACAAATATTATGAGCATCACACCTCACAGAGTGCTTTATTTTTGTGAAACAGCTGAGGGGACAGAGCAGTTCTTTGGTGGAGTTGCACATTTTTGGGTTTTTGTGCTTTATCTGGTGCTGGTTGCTTTCCCAGGTCATAGCTGGGAAATAAGATGAGGTCTCATGTTGTCTAAGAGCTGGTGAACACCTGAAGTGCAGCGGGCTGCAGTTTTCTGGAGATGGGTAACACCTGACTCGCTGTTGCTGTAGATTTTCTGCTACACACCCTCCTCTCGGTGTGAACAGCTTCCTCCAGGGGTTTATCTGCAGATTTGTGAATAATCCAGGGATCCTGTGCAAGTCCTTGCACCTTGCACGGCGGGGATGCAGCGGCGCAGCGCCTCGCTGACAGATCCTGCTCCGCTGATGCCAGCAGCTCACACCTATTGCAAACTCCCAATCCGCCCCACCAGAGATTATTGAGGCTGAAAGAAACATTTGCTGGATTTCTGCTTGTCTCAGATTGTTTTCTCTTTGAGGACAATCTCCTAAACAATCTTGCTGCTCTTAATGAGAGAAGCACGGAGTGTTTATTGTAACCTGCTTTGAACCGCTGGCGGCTCCAGAGGAGGGAGGGCTTCGAACAGAGCCTGTCTTGTGCCAAAAAGTGAGCTCTGGGCAGAGCAGGGCCGAGGTACAGGAGCAGGGCAGCGTTAATAAAAACACTGCAAATGAAACGTTAGCGCGGGGTGGTGAAAGAGCTCAATTTTATTTTGTTTTCACACATTAGGTTTTGCTTAAAGCAGACAAGTACCAGGGAGAGCGTTCTGAAAAGAGGCTTTGTATAGGAGCTGGGGCTCTATCCATCAGATTTGTCATTTCAGGAATGCAGCCAGATGTATTGACTTACTAGCAATTGCATTGGTGCCATCTGGCCTGCTGGAGGCTGTATTAAAGATGGAAAAAACTGAACAGAAAGAAATGAAACTTGTTCATCACGCCATTACCCTAGCTGCTTATTTAAAGAGGGAAAAAATGTAACTTCTTGGCAGGGGGTATGCTGTTTGAAAATAAAATAGGAGGTCTTAAGGACCACAAGTCTCAAAACCGAGCACTGATGTTTATGTGCAGACATGAAAGCTGGGCCTCACTGTTGTCATTTTGTGTATTTTTTTTTTTAATAGAAAAATGCTTTCAAATCCTACTGTTCCGAGTCATGGAGCAAAAAACTCCCAGAGACCCCTCACTGCAGCTTTTATCCTTGCTCATTCTCAGTCCTCCCCATTCCAGTTTAGCTGTCTGAATTGTCTCCTCCTCTCAGGAACTGAATTTGTAGGTGCTGTGCTTCCTATGGCTGTCCCAGGAGCATCTGCAGAGCTTTTGGATCATTTCTTTTTGGACTTACCAGCATCAGTCTGTGAGCAGAAGTGCTATGCCTAGTGCAGCAATAGTAATAATACTTTCCTAAATACTGAAACTCCTAAATGTACTCAATTTAATTAATAAATCAAATGAATCCATATTCCAAGTGTTTCCTTGCATTTCACACAGAAAATAGAAATTTTTCAGTATAGAAATGCATTATGGCTGCAGGGCAAGAAATGTTCACCAGACTTACTGGTGTATGATTTTAAAGATGCTTTTATTCATATTTAATTTTACAATTAGTCTTCTTGAATCAGTGCCATCTTGTTGGGAAGTTATTCCATTTATTTCACAGAATAAAGCTATGGGTCTGGACCACCTCCCACCCGAGCTAATGGAATTTGGACTGACTCCTATAAGAGCCCAGGGAACAATTCCTAGGTATTTTCAACCTTCAGCCTCTGTTGAAGGGCAGAAGAAATATTTAATTACTGAAAAGTAATTGTACATAGTTGTATATATAGTTTTCAGTGCACTCTCACAGACATACTAGTTCACTTAGTGTCGCAATAAAAGTTGTTTACAACTACTGACAGAAATGATGAAACAAAAGACCAGAGTCTTTTTTTAAAAAGAAATATTTTTCAGATCTGCTCTGTTCTCTTCACTTCTTTTGTTTTTGCCATTTAAGATAGAAAGCTCTCGAGGGCAGGGAAGTGGAACTTTGTAAAATGCTGAAGTGCTTGTGGGTGAAGTCAGTGTTTTAGCACTCCCAAACATATGTGTTAGAAGAACACATGATAGTTTTAGGATTTCTACAACCATGAAACCTCCACTATAGCACTGCCAGGGTCTTCAATGTGGGATTTTTTTTCCTACAAGATGAGAAAAGCTGGCACCAATACTGGAAAAGTCAACAGTGACTAAATACCCTTAAAAGAAGATGTAATGTTCTTACTCATACCAAGTCATGGAGCAGTGTGAAGAAAGACCCAGTCTAGCCCTCATTAAAGGTCAGAATAATGATTTCTGTCCACTGCAGTGAAATCTGGTTTGTTCCTTCCAAGGGAAAAGGGAGCAGCATCCCCTGGGCAGGAGCATGAGCTGGTACCACACTGTGCTCTCGTGTCTGTAGCCCTGAGATCCTTTAAGGGTGCTCCTAAAGTGGGACTGGACTGAACATCCCCAGTGCCTGAACCAACTCAAGTGAGCTCCAGCTGAGTTTGGGAGAGTGTCTGTGATACCTGTGTCAGTCCCTGTTTGTGATTAGTGCTGATTTCACCCCATCTCCCTTCATCAGCACAGAACAGCCCCACCTGAGCCCAGAAAGTGGATTTGGGATTGCCCTGAGCTGCTTCCCAGTGCCTGCTGAGGAACACGGAGAAGGTTTGTTGCCACTTAGCTTTTAGTAATTTGCAATGTTCTGAAAATGATTTTAAACAATGTTGAGGATTATTTTCCCCCCCCCCGCCCCATCTCAAAAAAAAATAAATCAGTATCTCTGGTAGAAATGTCTGGATTATTCCCCTCAAGGCTTAATTAAAGGACTTAATCTCTGTGCCTTTTATTTTGTAAATTCAGAATGTTGACATTATTATTGTTAGGAGTAATCTCATGATCCCAGGCAGGAAGGGGGGAGGGCTCAAGCATATGACACATAGGACAAAGTGCTCCTCTGCTCAGGAACCGCACACTGAGCGGAACAGCGAGGGGACACAACATTCTGGGAAAAGGAAAACATTGCCATTTCTCTGCAGGGAGGCTCTGCCCATGCAGAGGCTGCCACCAGACACTGGCAGGAACAGAAACACTCCCAAAAACCACGGTTAAGTTTTGAGGGAAAGAGGGCAGAGCATAAGTTTGGAAGTTGAAAGAAAAACATTGGAACAGTGGCAGGAGGAGCTGTCAGATTTACATCCAAGGAGGGGGTGCAAAGATTAGAAGTAAGAGGAATAAACAAATTAACAAGCAATGCTAAATAAATACAGGCATGTAAATATGTTGCTGAGAACAGTGTAAGCTGTCAAATCTTCCACCATTTTTTTCATTCACTTGACATATTTTATATGTTATTTACCTGCACAAATAGAAGCACCTTCTCCATGTTTTTTAGCAGTATAGCATCCATAATGTATAGTAAGAGTAGTAAAATGTGTGAGAGAAGGCAGGAAAACTTCTATTCCTTATTGTCTAGAGTGGTTTATTGTTTGATATTTCTTTTTTTAGTGCACTTTTAACACCCAGCAACAGAGAGTGAGAGCTGCTGCTGCTCAGAAGGCACAGATTCCATCTTATATGGTGAGTTAAAATGGGATTTTAACCTGGACTTGGAAAAGTTCATTGTACACCAGAAAACTTAAGAGAATACCGTGGCAAAATCCCTTAAAAAAGATCTAGAAAAATGTTGTAATAGAAACAGACAGGACTCTTGTTTCTCTTGCAGAAAAGCTAATTCTTTATTCACATAGCTCATATTTATAGGAAATATCAGAAGACACTGTGTTAAATCTAATTGGCTATCGATACACTGACACTCAGTTCATTGGTTGGCAAATGGCATTTTTGTATGTCTATCAAATATCTGTGTTTCTAGATTGTTTACATATTTTCTTCACTGAGTCTCATGGGACAGATGCCTTGTTTTTGCAGGTGTGAATGGTTTTGTTACCAGAACAGATTGTTGTGCTAACTGACTTTCATTTTTATGATTTTTTTTTTCACATGGGAAGTTACAAGCCAGCTCTTAACTGCATTCAGCTAAAGTAACAGGCCTAAGGTATGATACTATAAGGCTTTTTTTTAATAAGATTTCTCCTTATATGCAACAGAAAAACTGTAGCAGCACATGTCCACATGTAAATATTTAAACCAAACATGTGTTTTAGTAGCCTTGGACCACTCTGAAACCAGTGGGTATTTTCTCAGTGTATATGAGAGCAGTTTTCTGTCAGTCTGCTTTTTATTAACATAAACAGTCCAGTGGTAGTGACACAGGTAGTGACAAAAGGTGTATTTATGGTAAATAATGGACTGACAAATGGGAGAACTGTGCAAGGGACAACTTTCATGTGTACTTTTTTGGTGATGCATGACCTACCCTTACTCCACAGGTCTTTTATCATCTCTACATGAAAGAAACATGTTTTAACCTAGCCCACGTGGATTTGATAGCTCTATCTTTGTAGCCTTTTCTGCAGTACTCCCCAATGGCTGATAATAATATGTACTCAACCACCTTTAGGCCACTGTTGGGTCGAATTGGAAAAAATATAGTAGTTCCCAAAACTTAAAACCCCTGCATAGGTGACAAGAGGAAAAATAAAGTGTAAGTCCAGGCAAAATCCTAGAGGTGGTGTAGTCAGGTGGGCAGCAGGTTTAGTGGTGATCTGAGGGGGATTGAATGCCTCATGCAAAGAGGGTCTCCACACAGAGCTGCTGACAGCCTGCACCATTCCTGCTTTTCTTGCTGGGAGTCTGCACTTTCTGGGAGAATCCTGCTGTCCGTGGAGGTATGTTCAAGTCAGAAATTTTAAACCTTGTATTGAGGAAGATAAGACAAAATTTAGCTGGTTTATTCCTGAAACTCCTCTGGAAATGGATCCCATGGGGTCAGTGAGGAGAAGGTCACCCTGCTTTGTACTCCAGCACACCAAGACTTTGCTCCTTCTACCTGGGGAAATGAAGATGCAGTCCTTCGACAATATTTCTTTTTTGAGTCGAGATTTCCAAGATGAAACATTCACTTTGTGTATTAGGATTAAAATTAATAATTCACAACTTAATGAGAAATTCATCCAAGATCTGTCACTTCTGCCAAAACCAGGGTCTGATAACTGAAAGGGCTGTTGTTGTTTTTCCCCTTGGTGAAGTTCAAGTTTCTATGCTTTTAAGTGCTTTATTGTGCTTAGGTGACGCACTGGATTTATTTTTATAAAGATGTTATTGCTTCTCTATTTTTTTTTCCAATTAACTGACCACTCTGCTGTGTGCATTTAATGTACACTGACAGTAGTACTTTGAATTTCAGGAAATCGAGTTTCTTTTATTCTTATGCTGCTCTTTTCCCCCACTCCATAATGCCTGTATTAAGCACAAAGACAACCTGGATTTTGCAATTAAAAGGAAAGTAATTTGATGATGCACACACAGAGCAGTGGGGCACGTGTGTGTGCACATAAACACCGGGGTATCACATGGAAGCTCTTAATGAAACCCTTATGATATGAATAATGCTCAGGTTACAAATGCTACAGCTTATCTGGTACGTGTGGTAGGTGATAATAACTCTGCAATTCAGTCAGGGTAGGAAAGCAATTTTGGTAAACATAATACCTGAAAGCAATTTTCAAATTATGCCCTGATTTCTAACGCATAATAATCTCCAAAACATTTGGGTTATTTTTCAGATCCCATTTCCAGTTTGTGTTGGTGGATTTTAACCATTAGTGCCACATTGCTTGCCACCTCAAATCCCTCAGAGCTTGTGTGTGATGCTTTAGAGGGTTCTTGTTTTCTGAGCAAGCCCTCAAGCAGAATGCTCCTTACACTGGAAACAGAGACATGGAAAACAGGGACAGATCAATTATGGCATGGATTCAAATGCAACATAAACCAGCTTTGCACTGAAAACCTTTAAGGATTTTCTGAATGACAAGGGAACTTCTGAGCGTGCAAATGGGCTGCTCTTGAGGCCAGTGCAAAACTTGGCCATTCCTGTTTGGCCTTTTCTTCTAAAACTGGAAGATGGAGAAATTGCACCTTCCTTACTAATCACCTTTTGGAAAAGCTGATAAGTAGTTGAGGAAGGAATCCTGTCCCTGCACCAGTTTACTTTTCTCCATCCTCTGTGCTCTTTTTTGCCCAAAGGCAGGGAATAATTGTCCTTAATCCCCAAGCGTGGTGGGGAGTGCTGCTCAGCTCTTCCCTCCTGCTCAGGTACCCACAGGGACAGTCCAGCCTTCCCCTGGAGCAATTACAGGGTTGGACCTGAGCAGAGCAGTATCAATGGCATTCTAAAAGACACAGTTTTACTATCCTGACATAAAGGCCTTACACTATCGAAATTCTTCTTTAACTGTGCCAGGAAAATAATTGAAAGCATATTTAGTGTATGGATATAGAAACCTACAGGAATTTTGTTGGTCTTGTGGTTAGCGGAGGAAAGATGTGGAGAGACATTTAAACCAAGAGTTTCTACAAGCCATATATTCATGTTCCTGAAATTTGAGAGAATACATTTGACAGCACACTCACTTTAAAAACTGGGTATGAAGTTCTTTAGGATTGTTCTTGTGTGCCTTTGTCTGCCTCAGTAATGGTTTTGGAGAGAGAATTTTGGTCACTGTTCAAGGTTTGTTCAGGGAAGGCAACTTAGACCTGTTCAAGGTTGATACATTTCTAACTTGACCACAATGAGATGCTTTTCAGGTAATTCAGCTTAGCTGAGCCCTTTTTTTCCAAGCAGAATATCTCTGAATGTTGCAGTTAAAGCAAACCTTCCATTCAGATCAAAGTGTATAGGCTGGCTCTGTGTTATCACCTGACAACATTATCGTTGGGAATATTAAGCTGTCAGCAGCAGATCTGGAGGAACCACTTTCCCAGCCTGCAGTGAATTATAGAGGATGGGAGTCTATCACACATAAAAGTCTTTCCATTTTCTAAGACTGTATCTAATTCTAATAGTTTCAATCTGACCTCAGACTGGATTTTTCTCTTGTTTTAAATCATGATCAAGAGACCTTCTTAGAGCTTAGCTACAAGATTTGTAACCATTCAGCACATTTGTGTATGTATTTATGTTGTTTTTAAGATATATTTAAATATTGCATGTGCCAAGCCTGTGTGTGGAGCCAGTGGTGTCTTTTTGCTGAAAAACTCTTTCCTGCTCTATTTTTTTCCTTTTCTTGTTTTATTCCTGATTAATATGTTGTTTGCAGGGTTTTGTGCTAACACACACATCGTGTGGGACTGAGTGTGGGTCAGTGTCAAGTGGGACAGGATTAGGATGTGGGAGTTTGCTGGCATTAATTCTTAGCAAGTAGGATTAGGATAAAGCTGTAATTGAACAGTTCAACTAAGCTGGGATTCATCAAGAGATTTGCAAAAGCACATTATAGTGGTCAGTGAAAGGAAGTTTTAAACTATCAAGACAGCATGGTTTTGCAAAGCTCCGATTGCAGAGAGGCAGGGTTAAGCACTTCTCTTGTCTTGCATGTACAAATGTGAGATTCTTTGCTGGTTTAGGCATCCCAGTTTGTGCCTCTGAATGCTCAGAGATAGTGGGACAATGAGAAATGAAAAAGTGTTTTGTCTAAGAAACCTCAAAAAATGGCGAAGGTGCCATAGTGTTTAATGCAGTCTCATTAGAGGCGTGTAATCTGAAACTGAAGGGAGTTGGAAGTGATAAAAAAAATTTAAAGGAATTTTAAAGAATTACTCCAGCAATTCACTATTTACAGCCCCAAAATTTCACATATTTCTCTAATCCTGCCAGGTTTTGGACTAGGGAGGTAACAGTGGCCAGGGCAGGTACCCCAAAATGCCCCCACAGAACACAGGCTCTGTGGTGGTGCTCTGGGCAGGGCTGATGTGTGATCCCCCACTGCAGAGAGGCTCCTCTTAACCCTGGCAGGCAACCCCAAAACTACAATGCTGAAAAGTCCACAGTGCTGATAAATCCCTAAAAATTCCACCCTGTTTTCACCTAAATCCACATTCCAGCCACCACGCCGTTGGCACACGTTAGAGAGAGCGGTTTCATTGTGTAACTTCTCTTGGCTGTGCTTGAGTTTTACATTTTTTTAAAAAATGAGAACAAAATAATAGCTTTTGATGACATCATAGCTGTGGCTGAGATTAACCCTGCTCCCCTGTGGGGTGTTGGTGAGGGTTTTGCTCCATCAGCTCCAGGGATGTGAATATTTGTGCTGTGCTGGCAGCAGGCCAGGTCCTATGATTGTTTTATTGGGTGTCCAATGTTATTAAGCCCCTCTGTGTTTTTTCCCCTTTCGCTTTTTACTTCTGAACTGCTTTTCTGTAACCAATTTGCATTACTTTATGTTAAATTTCACGTGCCATGTGTCAGCTGAATTACACATCAGATCTAAAGATTCCAAGCCCCTTTGAATTCTTCTTGGTGGCTATGCTATATTTACTATTCACTCACTCATGTGTGATCAAGGAATTTAACAAGTTTTCAACTGTTTTTCATGTCTGAGGATATCTATGCACAGTATAGATTTAAAAAAACCCCAAACCTGTAAAGCTCCAAAAAGGGAACATTTAGGGATAACTGGCAATACGATTTATACCCTGCTTTATAACAATCCTCTTGTGTTCTGGCCTTTATGTGCATTCAGCAATTGCATTATTTTACTGATTTATGAGGACAAAAAAGTCCATTCTTTATGTCTGTGAAATGCATAGCAGAGAGAAGTCTTGATATTGTCTCAGGAGAGCCAGAGGGGCACTGGAATATACAGATCATTAATAAATTATCATCGTAATAATGTCAAGTTGCTACACACCAATCTCCATGAAATCCAGAATGGGCTTGAGGTTGCAAAAATATGTATCTTTTCTCAAAGCCTCAAAACAATTTTATTGTGGTTTATATTGTAATTCAGCCATGTTGATGCGTTTCTATGGCTCAGTAAAAATAATGATGTGGGCTGTATCCCAGTCCCAGAAAGTCTGAATTTCTAAGGATTCAGCAATATCACCAGATCTGACATCTTACTTTCCATCAGTTCTCTTGAGTCCTGCGTGGGCCACCCATGAAGTTGTCCAAATTTTTGTCTGAGGTTTTTCTGAACTGCTTTTTCTTGGGATTAACATAGGTGTGTTGAGTATGATTGCCATCTTTATATCTGGCATGTTTCTCTAAATCAGAGACAGCAGAGGGTTGAATGACTTTCTCCTGCTCTTCCATCCAGCTGAAGTCAGCAGAGTAAAGATGGTGCAAGGAGGGTCAGAGTCAGGCTCTTAGTCACGATAAATTTCCTTGTGCTGGTGGCAGAATGCTCAGAATGCTTTGAAGTGCTGGTTTTTCAGAGTTCACAACAGTTCATTTCAGCTCCAAATAAAATATTATCTGACTTTGCTGGCTCTGCAGCACCAGGCGAGGTAACAGTAGAGCTGTTCTGAGTCGTTTTACCAATCCAGTTTTCTTACACTGCTTTCTTTATTGGAATTCGTACAGAGCTTTCTTTAAACACAGCTTTGCACTGAAGAAAAACAAAAGAGTGTTTATACAAGACAATAGGGCAGACATCATTTACTGTATAGGGTTGATTTTGAGTTTATGCAGCTAAGACAAAGGGAAATGAACACCCCCATGTGGTATAACCTCTGCAAGAGTGTAGCTTTTGTTATTTTAAGGCTTGAAACGCCATACTTTTTAAAGTTTAAATTATTGAGGAATATACTCTACAGCATGTTCTTTGT